TGGAGGTAGAGCCGCCGGCCAAAGAGGACCCACTTGATCTCGAGGACGCGACGAAAAGCGGGATGCTCGAGACACGCTTGCTGCGTCGCAAAGGTCTCGTCCGGGTCTTGAAGGTCCAAGGTCAAGACCGCGCGGAGGGGACTGTGTTTAGCACTCACGCCGTAGACGAGGTCCAACTACAAGAGACCGTGAGCCGCAGAAGAGGGGCGATACGATAAAGACTATGAGATGAAAGTACCTTGGAAAACATGGCTTCGTGGCGACGCAAGTCGACGCAGTCGTCCAAGAACGTAGGACCGAGCGTCGCGTTGCAGCGAATCGCGCGGAGGAAGCTGTCATCTTTGAAGACTTCGCTGGTTGTCAGTGTGATCATGCTCAGCGCGCGCTTGTTGCGAAACTCTTGCGAGTTGTCTCTCGCGCGCTCTTCCTTCTCGAGAAGCTGCAGAATCTGATCATATTTGGCACTTTTCTCGCCAGGCAAGACGGATCGCAGCCTCTCGACGATGGGAATTCCGTCCTGCGAATTGTTTGTGGTTAGGTTAGGGCTAGGTTATAAAGATGGATGGTACCAGCTTGGGATCGAGATCGGCGCGGTGCACTATGAGCAGCTCGACAATGGCCAAGTGCCCATGAATGGCGGCATGAAGAAGGGCTGTGCACGCGTTCTATCCAAGCTGCTTATAAACTCTCTCCATTTGACAACTATGAACCTTGTCCACTTGATCAATGTCGGCTTCGTGCTGCAACAGATACTCAACGTTGACCAAGCTGCCGAGCTTTGCCGCTATCATGAGAGCACTCGTTCCGTCCTACAATGCCACAAGCTCACCACAGTGGTAGTGTTTGGGTATCATTTACCGTCGACTGCGCGTCCACATTTGGTCGAAATTGAGCAAAGAGTGCTTCTAAAATGGACATGGGTAGTCCTTTTTCGATCGCGACGTGCAGCGGTGTCTTCTGGGCCTGGATTCGATTTCGAGAGTTTAGCATCAGAAACAACGTAGTCGACCGTCTACCTGCAGACCGTCGAGCGCTTCGTCGACGTTGACAAGTCGCACGAGATAATACGCAGGATAGGCTTTCTCGAGGAGCCAATTGTCACACAAAACGACCTCGCACAGACGTCCATTTTCGCTTGCCTCGTTCCGATGTACTCGGACATCAGCCTATCGAAGAGGCGTTTGGGTCGAGTACGAGCCTTTCTATCTGCTGTCCTACCGCGGAGATATCGGTCCGAAACCCGTGGTGGGCACCTGCTTGAAGGAGCAGGCGTACGCACATAGCGTGGTTGTTTGTGGTTGCGACATGCAGTGGGCGTCGAATCAGGTCCAAGGGTGTCCATTCATCCGCCTGACGAAATCGACGTTGTGATCAACAGAGACGAGGTTGCATGTGGTGTGGCTTACGGAGCACGTCTCGATACCAATCTCGAGTTGGAACTGCTCCAAGAGTAGCGCCAAGATGCGTTCGTTGCCAAAGTAACAAGCATAATGCAACGCAGTGTTCCCCTACGCAAGATACCAGTGAGATACAAAAGCACGGTCAGGTTGGTTTGACGTGGGCATCTGGTTCGTTGATGGTGGCGATATCGCGCGACGCCTCGAGACGGTGTTGTAGCTCGTCCCACTTTTTCTCGGCTGCAAGTTTGGCGAGGAGCGTGTCGGTCGCCCAGCGCGTCTCCAAGCAGGCACCAACGCATGTCCGCGGTGGTGTTCCCTCGCGCGGCACTGTGGTCTGCAAGCAACAGTATTGTCAGTATGACCCATCACAGTGTACGGGTTTGGGTACATTGCGAGTGTAGTCGAGGGGTAGTTGCTTCTCGCGTGTGAGATGCAGAAGCACTTGTAGCGTGGCGGTATTGGTGATGCCGTCGACATTCTCCTTGCACACGAGTCCTTTCTCCAATAGCACCTCGACGACAGTGCGCCCATGCTACATACGGCGTTAGGGGCCGTGTTGGAAGAATGAATGTACACCTTGTCGTGCAGTGCCAGCATTTTCTTTGTGCAGTGGGGCAAAACGAGCTCAGCGACTTGCGTCTGCGCGTTGCTATCGAGCGCTTCCACCGCGTACATCATCACGGTCTTTCCGTCCTACAACCATAGGTCGTCAGATCCTATGTCCATCGTACGCTCGTGAAGACCATGTCCCGATCGAAGAGCGCTGCTTCCACGACCTCCCGTGCGTCACTGGAAGTGGTCGAGATCTCAAAAAGCCATTGCTGGATGCCACTGGCGTCGTTGGCGCGGGCCATGCAGTGCAGTGGGAACTGCGATCGAAAGTTGCCTTCTTGCTCCAGCATCGCCCGCACGCTGGGATCTTGAGCGAGGTCGGCCGCGATCTTATGAAACTAGCAACGGCCTGAGGTGAGCCCTCCTACCCTCCTACAGCGTGCGTCACACCTCGTTTTTGATGTCGAGCGGCACATTATGACAGAGACGAAGGAGACGACCGAGATGATGCTTCTCGAGCGCTTCGTCCATGAGCATGACAAAGGTATGCACCACCGAGTTGCCTCCCTACCAAAGCAGCTGCCACGCGACAATGAGGTGAAGAGATGTGTACATTGTCGACGGCCTTGGCATTGGCGCCGGCTCGGAGCAGCATTGCGATCGCATTGACGTCGCGTAGGCCGCTGGCGGTGTGCAGTGGTGTCTTTCCTGCCTACCGACAGTTTGTACAAAATGGACGTACGTCAATGGACCTTGTTGCGTGCGTGGACAAAAGATGGGTTCTGCGAAAGGAGCCATGTTAGCACCGCCGTCGCGCGCTTGTGGACGGCGTAATGTGCAATCGAATCGCCGTCAAATTCCCCCTGCATGTTCTACTCAAGTCGTCAAATGACATGCGCGATGTCAACGCTCATCGCCACGTACCGCGGACGCCGTCAACAAGGCCGGACACGCCGCGACGAGGAGCTGAACAATATCCAGGCGATGGTGTCCGATGGCCACAAACGCTGGCCCCATGAGGTCCTAGCCAAACGTCCAAGGGAAGCCCACCAATCAAGGATACGTACAGTAGCGCTGGCGTTCAACTCGGGCCGCTCCAGTACGAGCTTGACAACGTCGTCGTATCCGTCAGCGACGGCCCGGTTTAAGACACTCTTGCCCTGCAAGTCATTGGGCTAGTTAGTACAGAGGGAATCGACGTCCAGGAGAATGCGCACCTCGAAGCGTAGCGTGAGGGCCTTGCCATCAATCGTTGCTTGCTGCAGCCGCTTCCGCACAATGTCCGTTTTGCCCTCGGCGAGGAGCTGCGCCATGCTCTTGGTCGCATCGGCGGGATCGCTCGTCGTGACGGGCGTCTCATCCTCCGAGTCGTGGTCCGTCTCGGAGAGGAGCGATGCGGCGCGTGCTTTTCCGTGCATCGCGGTATGCCTGTGCATGAGATCGCAAGCTTGTTGTTCCTCTTCGAACAAGAAGCGATTTGAAAGCGCGATCTTCTGCGTTGAGGGTCTCTCTCGTCTCCAATATGCGGCCGTCGCGGGGCTGATGCACCACGATACGATGCCAATCCAAACCTCCACTTGCTATCCGGCCTCGCGCCAGAAGTATCAGCTCATTGCCGACGACATCTCCGTTCACGTCATTTCGGGAAGACTGCACGCGCGCCGCTCATGCGTTGGCAGCGAGCGTCAGAGGTGCAAGCGCACCCATCGTATCGAGTCAAGGGCTTGAGAGAGAGAGTAAGCAAGCTCCACGACGAAGGACGGCCCTCAGCGAATTCTCTTGTTCGAGGCTTCAACCCTTCGACAAGTTTTGTTCGAAATGGCACTTGTCCGCCAAACGCATACGCAAACACGCATGACGGCCAAGCCGTTGAAAGCGCGCGCGGCGTCCTTGATGTCCGAGACTGACCACGAGTCGGACGACGAGGCTGTGTTGCCACTCGGTGATCCGGCCGATGTGACCAAGTCTCTGCCGCAACTCCTGCATGAAGGCAAGAAAGCGCTGGTGCTACAGCAGCTTCAAACAGGTCCCGTCACTCTGGACGAGCTCACCGCAACGTTCGACGTACGCCTCGTCGCGCATGCATGTGTTTTCATGCATGTGCCCTGTAGGATGCGACCGTCTTGGGCATGGCGGCCTTTCTCGGATATGAAGATATCGTAGGCGACGTGTTGGCGCGCCAAGAGGTCTACGACGTCCCCAAGGTACTGCCTTCAGCTCTACCCGCGATGCTCACTATGGTTAGTACATGGTCCTCGCCGCTTTCAAAGCGATCGAGAAGAATCAAGTGCGCACGCTGCAACTCTTGTGTGCGGCCAACCCGCACTGGATCCCATCGCTGCAAACGCCGGTACGACTAGATTGTGCGTCATTTCTACTACGACTCGGTAGTTCACCGAGAACGTCTGTCCTCTCCTGCACTTTGCGGCCTTCTTCAGCGCCAACGCTGTGCTCGCGTGGGTCCTCCAGCAGCCGCTGCCGACCGGCGCCGTCAACGCAATGGACGACGTATGTACCTCGTCCGACGTGAGGTTGACAAATGCGATCGAACATGCGATAGACGCGACAAACACCACTGTATTTTGCAAACTACGAGTCTAATTTCCGGGGCATGAAGCTGCTCTTGCGTGCTGGCGCCAACGTCCACGAAGTTGACCAAGTATGTAGCCACTTGCATGGGAAATGCGGGGCCTAACACGCTCGATGTAGCAAGGCCATTCGGCACTGTGCGCGACGCTCTTGAGCGTCCACAACCTCGACGGCGTCAAGCTCAAGATCGTCATGCTTCTCTTCGCGTATGGGGCCGACCTGCACCCGCGCGAAGTTGGGAGCAAGAAGATGTACACGGGGTTTGGTCTCTCGCAAGCGTCGCGCGTCTCAAAAAGTGGCCAAGTCCACGCCCTCTTACGACACGAAGATGCCTTTCGACGGGAGTTTCCGCTGCACTGCTTGGCCCGCGACAACAATGTGAGTGGCGTCCGCGCCTGGCTGGACGAGACGCTCGCAGCCACCCACGTCAACGCATACGACGACGATGACGACGAGGATGCAGCAGAGCCCATGACGGCGATCAATGCCGCCCTGTCTGCACCGGACAAGGTGGGTATGCGCTCGTACTTTATGTATGCGGAACGATAGTAGGATGGGAAAACGGCGCTGATCTATGCGGCTGACGCCATCGACGGCGCGGCACCGACCCAAGTGCTCGAGATCCTCCTTCCGCACGCTTCGACGGCATCGTTGATGGTGCAGGACAAGGTACGTTTCCATGGCAAGCGGCCGTAAGCCAAGTCTGTAGAACGGGCGAACTGTGCTCGACTGCCTCTTGGAGAAGGACCTTGTGTGCAACGCCAACCTGGATGATGCAACAAACGCAGCCATTCTGCGCGTCATGCACGTCCTAACGCGCGAGAAAATGGTGGCTCTCGACTTTGTCTCCAGCGTAGGCCGACACGAAGGCTAGCACATTCGAAGCTTCTTGTAGGCGTCGGTCCCACGGCAAGGCACGCAGCCCCTCACGTGCACCGGTGTTTGCTCCGAGACGAGCCAGTTGAGCAGCACCACCTTGCCCCAGCTCGCCGAGAAGCGAAAATGGAGTGAGCTCGAGCGTCGGCTGGAAGCTTCAAACGATATCAGCACCATCAACGAGTACGATGCCAAGGTGCGTACACGTCCATTTCCTGTCTTTACGGACGTCGTTAGGGCCACACGGTGCTCTATCATGTGTGCGACGCTGGCAACGATGGGCTCTTGGCGTTGCTGCTCCAGCAGTCCACACTCAACGTCAACCTTACCATGCGCGACGTACCTACCTGGCATATCGATCTTTTGTTTTAAATACGCTATGCTAGTCGAGCGAGACCGCCGTCGCATTTGCGAGCGCTCGTGGCCACGATGAGTGCGTGCGGTTGCTTTTACGAGCCGGTGCGCACCACGGCATTCGACTCGAAGCTGTACGTCCTCTGCCACCTACATCTACGATCACAAAGTCGCAACTGTCAGCCCTTACGCTAGTCGGCCAAGGACCTCCAAATGTACACGTATGACAGAGCCAAGCCGAGCCGCACGCTGCTTCATGAGAGCTGGCTACTGGAAAAGGCGTACCCCGACTACCACCTCGCTCGCCTCCTCAATGTTCACGAGGCCGAGAGGCACATCGAGGTTGGCATAACCTTGTGAAGGACAATGCTATTTAATATTTTGTAGGCGCTCGAGACAGCCTTGCACATTGCAATTACGAACGAACTACCCGAGAACGTTGTCGAATCATTGCTGGGGCAGCACAGCGCGGATGTCGACGCCCAAACCAAGATTGTCCCGGGTTGTATAGTTGTTGTTTGACAATCGAGATGTAGACGGGCGAGACGGCGCTCATGATGGCGGCCAAGCAAGGTTGCATGCGCCTTGCTCAAGTTCTCTTAGAGGCAGACACTGATGTCGACGTTATCGACGCCGTATGTGGCCACGGACCAAAACTACCTCAACGGCAGTGCGTAGAACAAGTGCACAGCGCTACTGCATGCTGCGGTACTGGGGCACGTGGGAATTGTCGAACTGCTGCTTGTGTATCGCGCCGACCTCGATCCCAAGCTGGTACCACCGATCTTCATAACCTAGCCCTAACATAAACCTAACCACGACTCATGCACAGGACGGAATTCCCATCGTCGAGAGACTGCAATCCGTCTTGCCTGGCGAGAAAAGTGACAAACATGATCAGATCCTGCAGCTTCTCGAGAAGGAAGAGCGCGCGAGAGACAACTCGCAAGAGTTTCGCAACAAGCGCGCGCTGAGCATGATCACACTGATAACCAGCGAAGTCTTCAAAGATGACAGCTTCCTCCGCGCGATTCGCTGCAACGCGACGCTCGGTCCTACGTTCTTGGACGACTGCGT